ATTATTACAAACTTAAGGTTATAACTTTTTAAATGATTCACTATTAATATATAGGGGATGTATGGTAAATGGACTGATTGTGAAGGGGAATAATTTATTTATAAAAAAATTCACATCAATGGCCTATGACATTAAAGCATTATGAAAAAAATTTCAAGAAGAGGCGAGCTCCCAACCTAACAAAGAACTAAGGATGACCTAAAAAATTAATGAGCCTATAACTTAGTTGGTTAACACGCCCAGCCCAACATCTAACATTAAAGCAGCCAAATTAACCTAATACAAACCAATACGCGTAGACTTAATTTTTTTCGGTTTGATTTAAATTAGTAATTGTTGACGTGTCTTTTTGCCTCATACTCTGAAACTGATGTGGAGGCTTAAGAAGTGAGAAAACTCAACTTTATTGTATAAGATATATATCAGTGGGCTGGTCCGGTTCAGCTAGGGGACCAGATCTAAAACCAGCCAATAAAATTTAGTATATAAATATTTGATTTACTAATTTTATTAGTTATAAAAATCAATGTAATTTTTATAATTTAATAATGGTAAATTGTAACTTTCAGTTAGGCCTGCTCAATCCGGATTTTGGTCCAGTTTTTGTTCAGTTTTTACGGTTTTCGGTATTTCAGTTTATAAAAAATTGCTATTATATTGGAACCATAAATAATTTGGTTTGGTTTGGTTTTTATACTACCGGTTTTTGGTATATTCGGGTTTATACCAAAAAATATTATTATTTGATTTGGTTTCATCTTATATGAATTTTAATGAAGCAAGTTGTCAAAACTATCATTTCTTAAAATAATCTTGAGTGTTCATAAATAATAAATGTCAAAGAATAACAGACAAAAAGATCACTAACTCAGTTTTTATAGCTATTCTTACAAATAAATTACATGACATCATCTAAATTCACAATTTTTGAAAGCATAACAAAACAAAACAAATCTTGATACTAGTTGAAGAAAGAAAAAAAAATTATTAAGGCATACATTCACTCGGTTATTTACTCAATGGCAAAATGAAGAAAAAAAATAAAAGAAGAACACTCTTCCAAAAGAATAATAAGTTAATTACATTCTGTTTGTGGTGAGTATTTTTTCTATTGTTTAAAGGTTTTTAAAATTAGAGCTTTTTAATGTAAATATATATTGTATTAATTATAAATCACTAATAAAAAGTTAACTTATATAACAAATCAGTTATCATGTATCGTTATATAATGTATATATTTATAGTATAATCTCTTTAAATTAATACTTAATAAATTAATATACACTAAATTATTTTATAAAATAATATAATTTTATAGTTCCAAATTGAATTTTTGGTTCAGTTAGTAATTAGTATATCGATAAATTAATTACTCCTATAAATTAATAAAAAAATATAGTTTTGGTGTAGTCCCAACTTTATTAAGTTTTTTTTTTTTTTGTCATCAACATATACAGACTCTAAGTAGACTCTGCTAACCAACCCGGGGCTTCCACATCCATATGAACTACATACGACGATTGCTTTCTGGCATTCCGTGCTAGACTATCCGCCTTCGTGTTTTGTGTTCTGGGAATATGAATAATATCCATATGTGTGAAGCTCTCCTTTAAAATCCTGATGTCTTCAAGATAACTTGCAAACGCCGGCCATTCCTCTGGTGTAGAAACCATCCTTACTAGTTGAATACAATCCGTCACTATATATGTTATATGTTTTTACTTTATAGAGGTGTCACTCAATTTTACATAAAAATATGTTTTTACTTTGATCAATTTTTTTTGGTTTATTCGGTTAACCTAACCATATCCAAACCTATGATTTTTTTATAAAGTTATATCCATTCGGTTTATATGGTATATAATAAATCTAAACCATATTGTCTATTTTGGTTTGGTTCGGTGTTATTTTCAGTAATTTTAGAAGTATGTCGTTGAAAATTACAGAAAATAGCTAATTCCAAAAACAATATATTTATAATCAGGTTTAATGTCTTAGTTAATATTAATACATGTGCAACCCAATAACAAATATCTTTTGGGAACATATGGTGTACTATTTTGAAAGCCAAAACGTAAATTAAATAGTAAAATTAAAGAATATGCAGACAAAGAAAATAATATACGATTTATAATATACAAAGAAAATTAATTCCAAAACAATACATTTATAATCGAATTTTATCTTAACTCTTAGTATTAAACTAGAACTTGTCTGCATTACCGCGCGGGTGTGTGATTTAAGTTGTGTTCAACGTAAATTCATAAATTGCTATTTTTATAAAAGAAATTATATATATTTTATTTTTTGTAATTTACATATAGAGTAGAATATAGTATTTTATAATATAAATATTTAATAATAATATTTTTTTGTACATAATTTTATATTAGAAAATGTATAATTTGATGTAACTGTAAATATATTACCATGTTGGTTTTGTTAATTTATGGTATATTTTTTTGAAAATTGAACTCTGGAAACTTTATATTTTACAAAATTAAATAAGGTAATACGATATTTAAAAACTATATTTTATAATATATACTATATATTTCAGTTTGTGTTTTTATTTTCACCACAAAGAAAAAAATGTAATTAATTAATTCAAATTGATTTTAAATACAAAGACAGAATCCGTAAATAAAAAGAAATAAAAAATATAAGTTATTATAAATGCAATGACTAAATATATAAATAAAAAAATATTTAATATACTATCCATATTTCCAAATAATTTTTATTTATTCTAGTATATTTATTCCTAAACAGTTCCACAAGGTACTTCACTTTAAATAATCTACTAATAATAGCAATCCTCATTAATTCTAAAGGTTATGAATTTCATTATATTGAAAGGTTGTAACTTTTTAATATTTTAACTTTGTTTTGAAACAATGTATCCATTAAAAAGTTAGTTATTTTGAAAGAATGTGTCTATTAATAATTTTTAATATTTTAATAGTTTTGAAATAATGTGTCCGCTCAAAAGTTAGTTAATTTGAAAGAATGTGTTTGTTCAAAGATATATATATATATATATATATATCCCCTATATATTAATTGAGAAACATTTGAAAAGATGTAACCTCAAGTTTGTATTAATTAAAAAGTAACCTTGCTTAGTTGTCAATCAATTAGCATATCAATTAAACTGACGTGGCGGCTTTAGGTTCAATTGAAATTTGCTAGGGAAAAATAATTAGAGACGCATATAACGCATGTAACATAGTTTATATATTT